AAAAAGATTTCACTTTAACAGGGAAAAAGACGATTAATTAAATAGCACGATTCGTTATTACAACCACATGTACTACTGAACATTTTACAGAACATTGTGTTTGTAAGCACTTTTTTAACACGTTCACTTGTTCACAAGGTTGCTTCAGATGGTTCTTAATCCTCCCGATTCTCTGGTGCGTTTGGGCATTCTTTCAATGCCATGATATCGCCAGCAAATACGCTTGTTTCATCCGGTCAAAACCTTCTTCGTCTTTCCAATAAACCTCGATAACGGAGCTTAAATGGTTCATAGACATGTTCATAGTCCTTTGACTCGAACATCAACTACTGGTACTCATGAATTTAAAATAATTTTAATTAAGCAAATCATAAGCCTTTACAGGTTTTTAAGACGAATCAAGCTGCCAAAAAACACGCAAACTCAAAATATCTTATTGATTTCATGACTAGACGGAAACCTACGAACCTGTATATACGTGCTGTGAAGGGTCCTAATGCTGATTATCTTACCACCTTAGACATGAATGAGATAGTTGGCGGCAACTTCACAGACCAGTCAAATCAGGTACCCACAAGCTTCGGACAATATTTAACTGTAATGCTGGCTAATGGAATGAAAATTATTGGACTAACGCCAAGATTAGAGCCGATGAAAACCAAATCCCTGCTTTCATGAAATTTACGATGCTGGGTTTCACTAATCTAATTATCTTGTCCGCAAAACTACCTAGAATGCAGAATGTCTTGTTCTAAGTTCGCTAGATTGCACAAGATCTGGTGAGTCTCTACATCATGAGTTTCACAAAGGAACATCTTGAGTTCACTCTTCCTGAAATTCATTATTAATTTTCTAGGTAACACTAGACATAACAAGCAAAGAGGATGCATTAAACCTTAAAGGATAATATAATTATAGAAGAACAGGTGCCAAAACAACGTGTTTAAACCTGATCAGGTGAAATGTCAAGTCATGAGCATTCTGTTCCATATGGAACTACCTCAATGAACGTTTGCTCCCAAATGTTTCCTCAGAGTGTGATCTCGGCTAAATAACCTTTGCGAGCATGGATACTAGCTCAAACTACTTCGGTCATGCAACTCAGACAAATACAGCTCTCTTGTATATAAGAAGACAAATTGATGAAATCATTCCAAAGTAACTTTCGACTTTTCTGAAAACATAAATAGAATAAACTATACGAATGCACATTTCAATACCGCTAACTTACATAAATGAGTCGTAGGAGCATAAAGAGTGATCTGATAATGACTTAAAACATATTGAGAACTTTAAGTGACGCTGTACTTCGCCACTATGCTCCTTGAGTTAACCCATGAAAAATTCTGAATCAAAGATCAAACACCGAAACACGCTTCCACGTCTTCTTAACAAGAACTACCTCTACTCAGAATGCTCTCCCTCTAGGACCAGCTATATCTGCTTCTTGTTATCATGGTCCTCTCTTAAAATCGCCTGCTTGTTCTGAATCATTCATCATCACTGTTTCTTCTTCAAAGCTTACACTGCTGTCCTCTAACACAATATTCACTACCAATGAGATAACCTACTTATTTTTTTGCTTAGTTCTGAAATCTTTTTAGCACTAAAATTTCCCCTTTATTGTCCTCGCCATTGTAACCAATCAGTGTGATGGCTGGCGGTATCCAGAAACCCTATTAACCTGAGACGAGCGCTCTCACTGAAGTAACGGAACATGGAAGTCGGTAAATAACTGCTTAATGGCCAGAATCAGTGGTCCAATGACTAGACTATCACTCGCTGGAACTGTACAGAAATAACGAAAAGTGATCGCTAAGAAAAAAAACCGCTTGATAATCCCTTGTGAAAAGGTGGTGAATATAAGAACTGCTGGTCAGAGCCACGGAGATAGACGTAAAATACATGCTTAGAGTGCAGGTGTGGACCACAACCAGTTGTTTGAGACTTTAGAAGAAATGCCTCGGAATAGTAAGTAGATTCTCATATGAATTCACTCTTCAACGTCCACTAGATTCTGAATTTCAGAATCGCTTCATATTTGTCTTTTTCCTTTTTCCTTTCAAATCACATTCTTAAGGACAAATCTTTCTTTTACTCATTGCTACCATTACTTCTATATTATTATTAGGCTTATCTAATATCTGTTCCAAAAACTAAGTTGATGGTGTCAGTTTGTCTATTGTGCCAATCCTTAGCACACAGTGTCCTAGTCACTGATCATTGAACTGAGCAACCGTCAAGACGGATTACAATCATCAGGTGAATATATCTGTTGTCAAATACTTGGTTCATTCACCTTGCACCAGACTAATCATAGGCAAGATAATTAACCGGAATTCCTTTGTTTGAAGTCACCCAGTTGGTTATTGAAAGAGTGTAGTTTACCTACATCTTGTATATCATGATGACAAAGAAATGAAATGACACTATTACATAAACGTAAACCATTTTTAGGTAATATCATATTTATTCGAGAAGTGAACGTGAGTGGATTCACTAATAATCTTTTGACCTAGTACTTTCCGGATCACTTTCAACTGTTACAATTCATGTTCCATAAACGGTACCTTCAGACTAACAATAATCCAAGTGCTAAAATCCATGTTTGCGATTTCGTATATATTTTGTCTTCAAGCAAAATATACGTGAAGAAATCTTTCACTTCGACCTAATACCTGACCGAGGTTCGATTTAACATGTATTAGATGGTTCACATTCTGTTTCCTTCAAAAAGGGCTAAATTATAGACCTCATATATAGTAATATTGTTCAACTTTATCATAGAATTAGTAATAAAATAGTACTTCGTAATTGCTCCAGTTTGTTACTTTCCATTTTCGTTCACCTACTTTCATGTTGTTGTCTAGTTACCAATAAAATGATCAGTTATTTTCTCACATCACACTGATGACACTGATAATAATAATAATAATCAGCATAATAATGACCATAAATTTAGTAGTAGAGTAATACTAAACAACACGGGGACTTTCATTAGTTGATAAACAATAAGATCTGTAAAACTCTACTCACATGATGTAAGTTATACCAATTTGGGAATTATGTATGTTATTTGTGTAAATCACGAACTGATCCTGGAAGAAAACGTGAGAACTGAACCTCCATTTGGTGCTAGTATGAAACACTTCGACATTGTACATACAAGGCTTCGTATCAGTGCAGTGGATTGAGCGTGGTTTATATTACTCCTAACGTGGTTTGTTAGTGTTTCGGTTTCAAATGTGATAAGTTCGTCACTTAGTATGCTTGAGGCTATTACGAGTTTACCTTAGTCGATAAACGCGAACGAGACAATTACCAGCGTCCAGGTAGAGTAACTTGAATACCCAAAGTCAAAATAAAAGACTTCGTAAGCGTAGAAAGTATATTCTACAAACAACCAGCAATCACAGTACCATCAAGCATACAACTCTCGTTTATTTATACAACATAGGAACGTCCTTGAGACAGTTAAGAAAATAGCATACTAAAATACACAGCAGCCAATCACAGCCAAGGACTTTCCTGGTGGGAATTGAAATCTCAAGGTCATATGACCAGCACATGCTGGCAAAACGTGAAAACCAAATTAAGGCATTATCAAGCGAATTTCGGGGATCTAACATCCCCAACAAAATGCACGGTAACATCATACAATTTTGAAGACAAGAATAAATGTGACAGAAGATAGCCAACAATTCGCTTGAATTACGGGGTTGTGAAGATTGTTAAGTTACACATTTAAAATTATGAATCTGCGGCAGAACGCTTCTATCAAGAAAACGCGATTCGTGAAATACAAACATTTATCATTGTTCTCTTTTTGTTTAACTGTACCAAAAACTGACTTGTGCGCAACATTCTTCTACGCGTTGCTGACATTCTTCATAACATTCTGCTTTGTGTAACGCCTATTTTCTCCTTCAAATAAATATTGGACCCTGGATTAAGTTCTATACTTTTCGACGGGACAGTATTAAATATTTAGTGGTGATCATAGTCAATATCGACTCGGTCACCACTAAAATCGATAAGTGTTAGATCACCAATTAAAACTCGGAACCACTGGACGTTCATTTCATCCTGGTATGGGACTCAACAGCAGTGCGCATCCACGACTCCTGCATCTCGCAGGATTGGAACCCAGGACATGCAGTCTCGCACGCGAGAGCTCAACCTCTGGACCACTGGGCCAGTATTTGACGGTGTTACTGCCGTTACCTGTGCTCACTAGTGACTAGCTCCGTGAGGAGTCTACTCCGAGTTCTAGTGGGAATTCATGATCAGTGAAGTTCAACCTGTTCGGGTGCAGACAGTAACTACCGACGACCTTATACGAGGTTGCGCAACTCCGTGGATTGATCGAAGTTAGACATTGACACCGTTAGATACTGGCTCATTGGCCCAGAGGTTAGGCGTTCGCGCGGCAGACCTTGATTAGAATCTTGCAAGGTGCAGGAGTCGTGGATGCGCACTGATAATGTGCTTGTTTTGTGAGTAGAAGCCTGATGATTTAGTGTAAACATTATCTAGTAAACTTCATATCTTTCAAATTATTTTTATACGTAACTTGATATCACATCAATAAAAAATAAATTTTAAAACAATGACTTAATTTTATTAGGGGAATGGAAACGAGTCACACTATCCTCCAAAAATGTAAACAATTGAGAATTGAAACCAGCTCTCATGAACTGATATAAAAAACGTATGTAGCAATTTAGAATAAGATCTTTTAGAAGAACAAAGAAAAACGCTGAACTAAATGCGAATATCTCGAAAGGAGAATGCATCTGATTTTGTTTAAGATGAAGGAGTGGAACGATTGGTTTACTTTCTCAATGTAGAAATTGAAATTAAAACAGCCAAAAAGCGCACTTCAGCAATAAAAGTTCAGAATTTTCGTAGGTAAAATCGTAATTACTTATCAGACAAATAGTTGTAGCTTTCAGTGTCAGTGGTTTAATAGTATCTTTCTCATTATTTCGGAGTGACCTAAAAAGAGCGCACTAAATGAGCTGTTGGTTTTTCATCCGGTGGGTTTCCGTTGTAATATACTTCGTGAAATGTAGAAGTACTTGACTGTTTAAACCCTCAAGGTTAAATTATAGCTCACTTATTTTGTGAGAAACATTCTTGTTGAAAGTTATGCTATCAATCCTAATATTAATTTAAGTATTAACATTTCAGATCTGTTTCCGCATGGTTGTGTTAAATATTTCCCAACAAAGTTTGTGAAATGTTTGGCGTTGCTTTAGGATTTATCATGGGTTTAACCTAATGCTGTATGGTTAGAATCTTATACGTAATATGCGTCTCCACTCTGCAGGAAACTCGAAGTTTCTGTACTTTTTTCTACAATTCTTTTCGGAATTAACATAAATACCCTGCTTAGATATCGTTAACTTCATAAAACTTCCATGCAACGTTTAATTTACCTTATAACTTACCTGTTCTACATCGTCTGGTTACAAACTGTACACATAGTTCCGGATGCTGGACTGCACTATGTAGTCTGGTGTTATATTTCATTACGCTATTATTGCTTTTCGAAATCATCATGCATTTTATCTGTCTCATTTCAGATCTAACGTCTTAGATGCTGATGCCCTTAGTCCAAGCTACTTTATCATTTGTTGTGGAATTACGAGATTTCCATAATATTGATCTGTACCATCGAGGGTGAGTTGTTTGCCGTTTATGATGACCTTAAATTTAAATAGATATTACCAAATTCGTACTCACTTAAAAACAGGTGTGCAGCCCACAGCGAACGCTGGATCTGCCAACGGTAAATCATCAGCATTTGTTGAACCTCCATTCCGTTGGGAACGAGCTAGTACAAGATTCAAAGTACAGGAAGCTGTAAAAGCGAGTTATATTGAACCGAGCGTTTCTGTTCCAACTTACATACCAGACAAAGCATGCAGCAAAACACTGTTGATCATGTATCGAGATGAATCAGCAAGGTTATGTGATGTATTTGAACAGAGAGTATTAGTCCAGGTCGATCCGATTAATTTGGAAGAGTCTTTACTAAAACATGTTCTTTTCCTATGCGTTGAGCTATGGTTTGTCGAAGACCCACTTGAAAAGTAAGTCATATCTCCTATATTCAGTAACTAAAATGTGTTGACTTTTATGTATTACATTTCTGCTTTTGAGGGAAAATACTTCTTACTTTGTAATAAGTTGTACGCCTCAAATAAACAGGCTTCCGTATAGTATAGGAAGAAAGGAATGAGTTCGCTAGCAGTTTATAGCATTTCTTCAGTTTTCGTCGACTTGGAAAGTGGTTTCTAAGACGTGATTGAATGGGAAATGTAACTTAAATATTAAGGGCGAAATAAATTTACGGTGAAACCCACAAACTGCTATCCATCTAGTTGTACTGGAGTCATTGATGTTAGTAGTTCTCGACATTTACTAAAGCATACGATTTGACGTTACAGAGGAATAAATCAACCAGCATTCAAATGTACGTAGGCTCGTCAAAATGCGATTACTTGGCGATAAAAAATAGAGCAATGAGAAATTAAACGTCCATACTGACACCATCAAAAAGTAAATTCAGCTTTATAAGAATGTTTACTGCCTCGAAATTTCGAGACATTTCGTATCGAGTAGTCCACTCGATGTCTTGTAAATAAACTGACGTAATTTATAAGTGCTATTATAGTTAACGTACTGTCTACTTCATTACCTTTTCCCATGTCGTCAACTGTCACATTTTTCCATTTCTACGTTTATATTTAGAAAGGAAATTCTTTTAAAGCAGATACATAGCTTAATTCATGTAACTGTACATTTCGAAATTTATTTCATCTATTAACGCCAAACTCACATTACTATCGACTGATTATTAAGTACGTCTGAACATTTTCTATGAACACTCGCTGTTCACTATATCTTTTTTATTTGGGATCGGCATACAACTTATATTTCTCTGTCATCTCAGTTAACGGTTACCTGTTTGTAGAGCTTCCGGCAAAATAGTGCTCACTGTTTTATGAGATATCACTAGTTGCATAGTGGAAAGGCTTTGAGACTCAATATTTCTGTTAGCCATTGCTTTCAGATATCTGACTGCTTCTTCCATATCGTTAACAATAATTCAGTTTAATCTAAGGTCAGGACCATTCTCTAGAATTTTCCTCAGCAGTCGTTGTTAGGTATATGTTTTTCAAATATATCTTTTGTCAATACATGAAATATTTTCGAAAAAAAGAACTATTACGAATACCTAAATAACTATAATTATATTCACTTTTATTTACCTAAGACGTGATCGATGGATTATGATAGATTCAGCTTTCTTTCTTTAGTTTTTACTGTGGACTCAAAATGGTTTAACATCTTGTGTTTTTTATTGATACTTATGAACTTCGCTGCTTTGTCTGATAGCTTTCATACGATGCTTTCCTGTTTTATTATTATACGTATTTACTTACGCCTGCTGTCTCTCGCGGAGCACAGGCAACTGACCAGAAATCAACCAACTGCGTCCTGCTCTTGCCTTTCCAGTTTTATCCAAGTGTTATTCATTCCTTTGATGCCTGCCTCCGATTCGTGACAAATTATCTTCGGTCTGACTCTTTTCCTTTAGCCTTGAAAATTCCAACTCAAAGCTTGTCTTGACACAGTCTGGTGATTTCCGAGATGTGTGTCCCATACGCCTCCAGCGATGACTTCTAATTCTGTCTTCAGACGTAAGTTGGTTTATTCTCTGTCGCAGGAGGTTAGTGTTAATGATATGTGGCCGACAGATCTAGAGTTCCTCTCGTTGACGACTTCTGATTTTTGATAATGTTCCCATCACTTCTCCAAGTTGCAGCTCCACAAAATGGAGCTATCTCGACGTTTGTATTTAAAATGCTGACTTTGATGTTGGTTGACAGTTGTTTCCAGCAGCAGATGTTCTTCAGTTGTAGGAGTGTTGCCCTTACATTGTCACTTTTTGCCTTCACAACTGCTTCAGATTCTCCTTGTTTATCAACGATGCTGTTCAGGTACGTAAACGTTTCGACCACTTCCAGAGCTTCTCTATCACGTATGATTCGATCTGTGGTTCTTTGTTAAATTTAAAGATCTTGCTCTCCAATTTGATACAAGCTGCTGCAGAGGCTGTTATTAGATTAGCCGTCTTCGTCTGCATTTGTTGTTGTGTGGTGAGATAAAAGAGTTAGGTCATCTGCGAAGTCCAAACTGACTTTTATCACCTTCTTTGGCGTAGTTGGAAGGCGCAACTCCGCCGGCTCCAAGCCCGGATGAATGAGGAGGGTTGTGCTTGCGGTTGGCTATCCCGTCCTGCAAAAGACTAACTCGCTCAAAAAACGCTAAAAAAATAATTCAGACCAAATAAACCACACTCTGGATGTTAGAAGGTTTTCATTTAGAAGAATTATGACGTCTCATGATGAAAGACGAGTTCCTTAGGAAGTCACGAGGCCAATGCCCGTTCTGACAACCAGAACCCTTCCACGGTGTGGTCCGCGGGGAAGCAATATCCACCCTCATACACATAAAAGCAGACGAGGCCAAATCGGTCACAATCAAATCCTTCCTACACCTTATAACTCTCTCATCTCGACCAACCTTTCTTTCGATCGTTTGTCACCTCGCGCCACTGAAGCAAACTGTTTGAGTTCACGAAACGTTATTCCTGGTCTTTTGAAACCCCGTACTAAATTACATATTGAAGCTTTTAATGTTCGAACATTATGCCAAATAGGTCAACAGGCTTCATCAGCTAGAACTCTGGAATCCCGAGCGATCGCTGTATGTTGAGTCTCCGAAACGCGCATACAAGATCCGAGTAAAATCATCAATTTGATTTCACCTAGTGCAGATAGGGAAACAACACAGTTTACGCTTCGTATTTCAGATGACGTATGCCTAACCACAGACTGCCTCTTCGAGCTATGTTTTGCGATGTAGGAATGGGTTGGAAGGAAGCTAGGGGTGGTCAGACCAAATTATGGCACAAATCCATGAAATCACTGACAAGTGGACTGTCATGTTTGTAGGTGTTGACTATCTGGTTGGGGTCCGCGAGGTGTTAGTAATCGATGGTTAGAGATCCTGAATGATATGGCTCAAAACCGTTTGCAGTGGTGCAGGTGCATTTATCCTTTGGCTTCTGTCAAATCCAAATCCTCTGGATTCCTCACCACCTGTATCTTTTTCTTTCTACGTTTATGTCACTAGATTCTACTTCTTGAATAATATCTTCGAACCCTAATCTCTTCGATTACTGCTACTACTTTTACTACCTCTCAATTGCATCTCTGTGCTAATGTGATGTGGCAACGTGATCTTATGTTCGTAAGTACAAAGTTCGACGTTGCTGTTGATTGGTTGATGAGTTGAGAGGCGCATAGCACTAGAGGACATTCATTATATTCTCTTTCTTTTTCTTGAAGTATGCTTTGACGATTCTTGGTTCATGATACTCCCATTCTATTCTTGCTTTCCGTGCCTCTCTGAACAACATCAGTACAACTCCTTGTTTATGAGGCATTTTCTTCGTAACCGGAGTATAACAGCATTCCTTTGAATTTAATCTTTTCTGTCCAGTTTGTATATGGTGTGTTTCACTCATTCGAAGTTCCTCCAGGTTGTATCTTGTCATTTCCTCTGCATCTCTAAAGGTTCGCTTGGTTTTCCACATCTTGCGGACATTCTTTGTACCTATGTTATTTGTTCCTTTGGTTATGAGATAAGGCGTCAGTCTCTTGACTTCCGAAGAAGCTTGGCTTTCACAATGAGGCGTCATAGCTCTTCTAGATAAAGACCCTCCAACTCCCAGGGAGGAGTTTAAATGGTTTAAATGAATATTTCTGGTTAGTGCATCCGTTGATAAAGTTCTCTTTTTCCATTCCATAGTCATACAACTAATCAATTTTTTCCCTCCCTGGCTAAACGAGAAATTAACTCAATGATAAATTGATTATTTTGGGGTTGCTTAAATATATAAATCTTATTCCGTTCAACGATTTGGAGATGACGCTTTTCGTACGTTCTTCTCCACAGCTGTTATCACTTTCATTCATATGAAATGTTCCATCTCCCAAATTGTTTTGTATCTTTGAATACCTACCGAAGCTAATTTAAACCCTTTCCTTACAACCTATAAGATAACACTCTAAACTAATGGTCCGTTTCGTCTAATTTAATGGTAGCCAGGGATTTTGTAGTCTGGCTGGGATACGATACAAAAATTCTGAGACTGAGAATTGTAATGAATTCAACAGCTGGTAATGTCATTCACCACAGACAAACATCATCGATATAGATCTTCCTACATAAGTCACCGTGTTAAACTGCTTCAGTACCTTCCCATCAGTCAGTTCTATTTATTCGACATCAATCTATCAGTTTTCAGTGTAAGTATCCATCGTGATCATACTCATCATGTTAACTCATAAGTATGCATTCATGTGCTTCATTTGTGTTTTGTTATTTTTTCATTTGATTGCAAATAAATATCCTTAATAGTAGATGTTAAATAATCTACATTGACCCCTGGGGAAATCCATGAGTCTTCCGTAGTTCAGTAACTTAAATGGGTATTTCTTTGCAAATGAGTTACACACACATCGTTTACATGAATACGTGACTGGTGTTGATTTTGTACCACTGGTGAATTCATTCCATTTACTGTATAATTGAGTCCAATGTTAATTGTATGATCACCTTTAGATTATTATTATTATTTTCACATTTTTTTTCGTTGATCTTTGAAATTAGCTAGTTTTTTTCAAAGATTTGGTTGATGAGACTCACGTATCGGTGACCTCTCTCTTTTCATTGTGTAATATATATTGTTTCTCCATGTGGTGATGTTGTTTTTGAGGTCATTTTCTCAGTATGTACTAGTATCTGTTTCCACTTATGTGTATTGATAAAGTTCTGTGTATTTTTTTATATGTATTCATTCATTGACATAATCGTTATTAAATAATGCAACCTCGTATTTTTGTAAAAAAGAATCATGTTCTCACTTTTTAATAATACGGTAAATAATCTGAGAGGATTATTTAATCCGGTCAAAAATTTACCCATATAAGCCACTCATCTGAGAGTAAATCAAGTCACACTAAACAAGAAATTCAGAATTTATCAGTTCGTATATTCAACTTCCGACAGTTATGGTAAAACTGAAGTTTGCCACCTACTAGATCGGAAAGCCAATTAGTTTAACAAGAAAAAAACTGATGCTAACAGTGCAGATTACCAGAGCATTATTGTCACTTCTGAATAAAACATTTTTTATGGAAAATGAATGAAAACCAAGTTCTCAAACCATTAATCCAATCAGGAGGTGGGGCTAAGAATTGTGTAGTTTGTTTTCCTTATGAAAAACTTGTACCTTCCTATATATGTAACAATCCCTACCGTCCTTCAGTTATTACAAAAAGTTACATTTTCCTTCTAGATCCTTTTCTACTGATTTACTGACCAAAGTATGTGAGCGTCAACTACGTATTCATTTAACACCATCCCGTGGACTTCATTATCATTTCACTGTATTCTTTGATTATTTTCATTTATGTGGTATTGAATTAGCACTTTATGGAGCATTAACAAATATCACCCCAAGTATTATTAGGTAAGCATTTCTTTAGTGTCCATTTTAAATAAATATGTACTTAACTCATTCTACAAAGTACCGGTATATGTATTTACCCTTGAGTCATTTTCTTTGTATAAAAGTTAGTAATACTCTACTACTCTGTTACTAAAACTGAAGAAAGTGGAGCAGAGTTCGAGCTAATTGTCTACTGTTTAAATAAGCTGAATGCTCTAACCATTATGAAGCAATAATCAGATAGTTGAAACATTCGGCTTTTGTTCAATATGTAGATTGTATTCGTCACAAATTGACCTCAGTTCTGATATCAATAAAAGCGGAAAGCATTAGGCAGCATTTGTGTCTTATTGAAGGGTTCCTTCGCATAGCACATGTACGAACCGACCAGTGAACTTCAAGTCTGAGCTCGAATGCTTAATGATTAGATCCACTAAATCGGCTTCCAACAGTAGAATCTCAACTTCGGTCAATTTGTGATGAAGCACGATAACCATCAAATCCCACTAGTGATTACTGTTTTATTCACAATATGTCTGGATTCCACCAGTCATGACTAGATTTTTAGGATAATCTTGAAGAGAGTCATTAATGATGTTTAGTTGTAAGAGCTTTGTGTAGGTAGTATATGTCACCGAATATTTTCCCTCAGTTACCTCTACTTTTTGCTCATGACAAATAGTTTAGAAAGTTTTTTTCCTTTTCATTCACAGTTGGCCAAACATTTCACCAAATAATACACCAGTGCAAACAACTAATCAAATAATTAGTTTAGCTCAACAAACATGGCATAGTATCCTTTACAGTATTAAACAGGTAAGTAGATTGTTCGATTAACTATTCATGTTCTTACAAATCATTCTGATTTGATAAAATCCTTATTATTCATGCATATGAATAAGAGTATTTACTTTTTTAATTCAAAATTAGAGACGAGTCGTTTAAGTTGCCACAAATCCAAATTCGGCATCGCTTATCGTATTAAATAACATAAGACTACTCTTAGTTACTGAATTCATCGTATTTTACTTTCTTCACTGATTTATATTTTCTTGAATCTTATCTTCAATCTCTAATCTTTTCTATTACCATTAATACTGTTACTAACACTACTACTCTGAGATTTAGCCTGACAATTTGATGTGGTATGGCAACTCGAACTGATGTACGTACGTACCAACTTCTAAATTGCGACTAACTGAGTGCAAACCAACAAACATGGAACAGCCGTTTCGTCCTCGTATGGAACTTCTCACCAGTCTATATTCATGTCTCCACCGGAAAATCAAATCAAAAGCCTTCATGTTTCGTGGCGATTGCCCAACCATTTGACCACTAAGCTTGCATCTAGTGATAGGAATGTCTAACCGGTTAGTGATAATATGCAATCATCTTTTACCAATTCATATGTATTGGTTGTTTGAATCTTCCCATTGATGTTTAGAATGGTAATTGGTCAGTCTTTTTTGACATAGGTGCAACCTGTGCGGATTATCTCGATATAGCCTTTAGGTTACTAGCATTGCTAGCAGAGGTGAATAGTGGTTAGCAGTAAAATTCAGGGCGCGGGTTTCTTTCTATTTGGGGCCCATCAGCTGGATATACCTGCATCTCGGAGTTGATGTTCACTCCGGGACTCGAACTCAGTACCTTTCAGTCCAGCCAGTGCAGTAATTATTGTGTTTTACTGTAGTAGTGTATTGTCTGTGTTTTCTTGTAGTAACCATAATACCTCTCTAAAAACGAGTTATGGCCAGTATTGATTGTCCTTATGCATTTTTTTACTAACTGACTACTGCATGTATGTTAGATATGCAACTGTCAGACTTCAACCTTATTTCACGATGCATCTTGTTATTTTGATTACACTGCGCTGATCAAGTGCTCAGTGTGTATTTGTACTTAACTATCATTGCTTACACTGACTTGCCAGTTATTCACTTTTTAGAACCTAAAGTAATTAAGACTTTTAAAATTTAAGAAAGTGATAGATATTTTCATGAATCTGATAACGAATATATATTACACATTTCATCTTTATTTCCTGTTTGTGGGCTAATTCTAATAGAAATCTATGGTAATCGTATACTTGATTTGTATGGAACAGTTAAAGCATGTACCAAGGGTTCTCGACTACACTTTAGTTCTCATCTAACTCACTGAACTAATCAGTTTCCCGTACTCATGATTACATCCTGGCCGTTTGCAGCATCGCCACATTTAATCAAGATTATTTTTAATTTACTTTTGGGCTGTCCATTTTTTAAATTAATTGATACTATCTAACCATTTATACCTAAGTAGTTAGACATGTTGGAAAGTCATAGTTGTACCATATTCCATGACCATACCAATTAGAATCAAGATAACAACTATCTTATTCTGCATAAAATTCAATCTGCTACGGCTTACAATATTTTGCCACTGTAGAGTATACCTTTATCTCAAGTTGAAACAAAAACAGTTTGTGGTATTGTATCTTAAAAATGCTGTAATGTATATTGGCAAAATAACACAAAATATTTTCTCGCTCTCGAACGCCAATTTTGTCTGAAACATAAATTTTGGAGGAGTTATTCTTCTTGCCCCTTTTTTTAAAAGGAGCAAAACTTTCAGTTAAATTATGTTATTATTAATGCGTTGAATAGTAGGCATTTTTGTATTTTACAAATTTCACATGTAAACCTCAGAGATTCCATGTTACTTTGTCTGTAAACCATGGAATTCAAGTGTGATATTTCAACAATGCCTAAAAATCTCCAAGTGCGAAATCCTAAAAAAACTGTTAGAAAACACAAGTGATTAGTTAACAGGTCGAAAGGCATAGCAATGTGCTTTGGAAGGAGCTAGTGTTTATGGTAAAAGTAATCTCTTTTAAAATAGATCATGATAGTCAATAATGTAAACGTTGAACACTTTAACTGGCTACAATAAGTCATCATACACACGTAATTTTCGTTACTATTTTGCAATAGATTCTTATTCTGATGATCTATGTTCATGTAATTAAAATTTGACTGTAAAAGTTCATTTATTATACTTAACACTTTTCAATATAACCTTGCTCATGAAATCATCACCCGGTGGTGGTTATATTATTAAAAAAAACAAACAGTGATGATGTAACTGTACTATGGATTAATCGATTACTTCGTCATAGAAATGATACGTTGCTAATACAACTATGAGAACCTAAATCACTTTCTGATGTTCCATGACTCTGCTTAAGTCTCTTCGGTAATATGTAAGTAGAGATAAAATAATTTTTAAGCATGACTATCTATGATGTTTCATTGACAAAGAACAACATATCGTTAAGTGTGTGGTTTTCTTTTTTTTTAACACAAGAAATAAAATCAACGTTTTTCCCAAAACTATTTCAATAAATCTGATCAGTATTCAAGATAACCTCAAACTTAATGATTATCATATATAGAATGAGATTCTCAAACTGAACAAATTTATACTGAATGCAGTTTTTGATACAGTCATACTTAATTAATATACTCAATAGCATTTGACTTCATATTGCACATAACATTAGTTCTATTTATTTGGTGATGAACAGATGATGATTAAGCTACTCAATCTACAGTCATCAAGTCTCAGTTTTGAACTCCGATCACAATGAATGGCAAGTGATACAACTGAATTTATTTTAGTCGGAGTTCAAACCTGAGACTTGATGACTGAAAATTGAGTAGCTTAGTATCACTTGCTATCACAATAAGATTATTGTTTCAAAGCCAAATAAATGTACAAGTCTGTATTTGCTAAATGAATTGAATAAATATAAAGTACTGTGAATAACTTGATTTGCATGTTAATCAAATCAAATCACACCAAGCAACATTATAACCAACTGGTTGGTTTGTTCTGAACTTTGATAAATTAACTGCGGAGCTCATATATAAACTGTGACCATCAAAACGTGTTATTACTCTTTAAATTCGTATGTATTGATTGTTTGAATCTTCCCATTGATGTTTAGGATTATTATTGATCAGTACGTGAGCCATATGTGCATCTTGTGAGGATTACTTCGATATGGCCTTTAAGTTACAAGCATTACTAGCAGAAGTGGATAACGGGTAGTTGTAGAATCCAGGATGTGCTTATCGTTCTATTCGGGATTCATCAGCTGGATGTACCTTCACCCTGAAGTCGATGTTCCCTCCGAGACTCGAACCTTGTATCTTTCGCTTCGAATGCCATCGTATTATCTACTTCGCTACTGAGTCCAGACAGCCACTCACTTGTGCAATGGGATAAAGTTAAATTCATTTATTTTGCATGTTTCTTTTCTTCCACTGATAGTTGCAACTGATCAGTCTCATTTGGCATATGTGCATCCTGTGAGAATCACCTCAACAGATACTGGGTTTAAGCCCTTGTGTGCACATCAACTCTAAGGTGCAGCTAACGAATCCCGAATGGGACGCAACACACATCCCGGATTCCACTGCTAGGCACTATCCACCTCCGTTAATATCAATTTTGTAATAATCTATTTCTTAATTACAATAATTCACTTCACTTTAAAATCCAACGAACTAAAACAAACTTTTAGTTTTATCTTAAATCAATTGTTAGTTCCATTGTATACGTCTTGTATGTATGTCGTTATTATTATTATGAGTATTATTACTATTATTGTTATTACTATTGCGATGGACATTTGCATACGACTATGTTATTATTAGTATTATCATGTAATATGATTTTTCTCTGGAAGGATTTGTAGATTAATTCCAAATTATTTTCGTAATGACATTGATTAATTTGCTTGTTGATAAAACATTCAAGAAACATGGCATATTATTTATACATACATATGTATATTCCGTTTGACCATGCTAAAATATTTGCACATATATCTTGTAAATGACCTCTGATAAATTTAGCATTTGTTCATAAATATACTAATTAACTTGATATATATATTACTCGATCGATAGTACTCAAACACAACAATCAAATTTCGTAACAATGTCTTTGATTTATTTTCATAAGAGTAGAATAATTCAGTTTACCATATGTAGGTTCATTTATTGAGCTTTAAATCACATCTTAATTATTGAATGAATAATATTTGATAGCTCTATATGACTAGTTAGATTGTGTTAGACAATAAATTATCCAATAGTAATATCTACTAACATACACTCAAGAATGGTAGCAACTGTACAAGAAACATATAACAGCCAGTAATCGCAGTCATTGATTCGGTATTATATCTTTTGTATTGGGTTTGTAGCTTCACCAGTCTTGAATTATCCAGAATACTCATTTGAATCACATCACTACTTGTTTTAAATTCGATTGCAATATAAATCATTTAGTTATTCCCATGAAATCTTCTTATTTCCTCACATAATTACATAATTTTTAAAACAGCTATCTATCTCATTCAAACAGAGCTAGATGATGATTAGCTGTGGGATCGAGGTCGTGCGTTTCGTCTTATTTAGGACTCACCTGTTGAACGTCTTTGCATCCACGTGTTGATGTTACTCCTGAAACTCGTGCCCTTTATAGTTCGCTTCAAACATCACTGCGTTTTCCACTTAGCTAATGAGTCCAGACAACCACTCGCTTGTGTGTAACGGGGTGAAGTTACATTCATTTGTATTAATTGTTTGAATCGCCCCTTTGATGTTATGGACTTGGTCTCTAAAATCAATTCAAATAGATTAAATGTCACCTCATTGCACAATCCAGTGGCTGGTCATGTGACTATTGGTTTTGAGTATGACCCGGATTAATTTGATCTATATTTTCCACACTCACATCATATTAATAAAAACTTTCTTCACTCTCATTAATCTTCACTTAGTTATAGTCAATGTAGATCTTGTCCTTATTATGCATTAGTTCAAATTGTCATACTATATCAGTACGAGTGGCAAAAGTAGTTCTAATGTTAATGAGGTAGATTATACATTAAGGAACACGGTTCAGAAGAAGAAATAACTTCCTAATTAATATTGAACATTAAGAATGGTAGGTGGTAATGTAAAAACATAAAATTTTTGACCTTGTGAGAAATCGCCTCACAGATACTCTGGTTCTATTCTACTTATGAACATTATCATCTTACAAAATCACTTTTATTATTTTATTCATGTAGTTTTCAAATGTAAATTATTTCATTATCAATTGAAACATTGTAAACTGTTTGTTATAAGATACTTTATTAGATCTCATGCATTAATTTTATTTACTTACATGTTTCATGATTACTTAACATTACACTATTGAGTTCATTGAGATAAGGATATAAGCATAGCTGGTTAGAAATCCGAAACTGTCTGTATCCTAATAAGCTTGATAATTTTAAGCTTCTTATACTAATCAGAAACAGGGTTTTGTTCCTCTGTATCCTTAGAACTCGTATTATATTAATTAAGTTATCAATTTATTCTTTATAGAAACAACCTAAACTTCTTAATGAAATGTTGGAAATTCACACATTTTTTACTCAGTGGAATATCACAAATTTATCATTATTTTATTATTCACAATCTCTGCCAAGTGCTTAAATCTGTTCAAAATGATCACATTGAACTGTGATACAGAGATATACTTGCTATTCTAATATTCAATATATTTTGCCTTCAGTCATTCACATTTATTAGATTCATCATCTTATTAGATAATGTATTACTTTATTTATATTGTTAAAAACTTTATTTTAGATTAGTAGACATCATTTTGCACTTGCTGTTCATCGACATCTTTGTCAAATGTTATTAGCTGCAAGAGAATCTATGTTGTTATTTTGGCGTGAAAGTATCCCGTACCTACCTTCAAATGTTAGACCACGTATTGGTAAGTTGTTTTGGCATATTTTCATTACTGCTTTCATTTATTATTTTAGTAAATGTTTAGATAAAGAATTGCAAAAGTTTATGTAATACCAATATATGATATTGAATTACAAAAATGACAGAGTTGATTATGGCATTTGTGTTGTTATTAGTAAGGGTTTGAGTTATTTCGTGTTTTGATATTTCAGGTTAACTTTTTATCAGTTTTTCTAGGTATTGTGGTTAATGATTGTTCTCTGAGCTCAGGGATATATGCATTCAATGTGGTCTGTCCTGATATAGTCATTTTGTCTAGAAGTGATATAAACATCTTATCTGTTGAACAAGTTAGCGAGTATCTAGATTCAGTTGTGCAGTTGATGACTAGTTATTATTTGAAGCGATTTAAACTAGATTCAAGTCCCAATGTGAACAAAAACACTGGGATACAATTACATCCATCTAACGAGTCCCACATAAGACGAAACACACATTATGGACCTCACCACTAGCTAAAATCGATCTGTTTTAGAAAACACGTTACAATGTGGCTATAATTGAGATAATCAGCACAGGGTTCTCATATACTAATAAAGACTAACTGAAAATCAGTCCTGAATATCAACAATGAAGTGATTTAAAACCTTACCAATGATTATGTAGCTAGTCGAAGCCGCAGTTTAAAATAGTAGTAGACATTAATGGCTCCAAGTTCTGATCTAACAACTAAATATGCTGATGAAAATAAATCTTTCATCTAATATATGTGTATCACACTTAGGCTAACCTGGTTTCTGTAACATCAGTAATGAGAAGCCAAATACCGGTTGAGTTGGATAAGCCTGTTTCATGCAGTCGTTCACGCAGGTAGACATGAAGATAAGAAGCGATAAATCAAAGACGAGTCTGTCAGCTCAACTTAAATGAGGCATGACTTAATATTTATGGTCAGAGAGAGAGACGTGATAAATAAAGTAAGAGATACACACGTACTCAGATAAAATGACATGCGAGTAAATAATCACTTGCAAAGAATAGACCACCTGGCTTGTCCAAAAACTAGAACAGACCATCTAGGCTTGACTTCATGGTACACGCCACAAATATATTCGTTTGTGTAGAGCTCAGATTTCAGTTCATGCAATAACCAACGTTCTTATTGGTTTGAAAAGTTTGGATTAAATATATCAAAAAGTGTTATAGATCAACCTCAATGATGAAATCTGACTAAGTCTTCAAGGACAAAACTACAGACTACTTCAATATTCATAAAGCTAATGGAATGTTACTTAATTACTTACGCCTGTTGCCTCCAATGAAGCATAGGTCGCCGACCAGTTTTCTCCAACCAACTCTGTCCTGGGCTTCCTTTTCCGGTTCTTTTTCTCATGTCTTTCTCTATTTTTTGGCGTAATGTGTACTTTGGCCTTCCTCTTTTCCTTTGACCTTGAGGGTTCCAAGTGAGGGCTTGTTTTGTGACACAGGTGGTTGCTTTTCGCAGTGTGTCCTATCCACTTCCACCGCCTCTTCCTCGAAGCTCCGCTAAAGCCTCTCTAGGGTTACTGCCGGTCCTAAGCCCGGATAAGGGAGGAGGCTTGGGAGTGCGGTTGGCGACCCCTTCCCACAAAAAAAACTAACTCGTTCAAAAAGCGCTAACCAGAAAACATAAGTCAAACCATTTTAATGAAATATGCTCTTGTGTATTTATCATAAGCAGTTTTTCTCTAGTCTGTATACTAAACTCTACGCAATAATTATCCAATACTTAAACATAAATATCAAGTAAATAAAGAATTACTTTTTTACGCATAATGTTTATCGATGGCATTAGAATCATTAGAAAATCATTTTGTTTTAAAAACCTGTACTTCATTTTGTTTGTTTCCATTTATCTTGTAATTGTATTTGTGACATGAAACATTCCATTTTTACTTTTAATGAATATTTTATTTCATGAATGATTACTACTTAAAGTGTACTTGAATTTATTTTATTTATGTTCTAAATCAAATGTATCTCTAATCATAATTGGTGTAATGTGAAGAAATCATTCATTCACTTGAAAATGGTGTATTTCCACAATTGTCAGATACTGTCTGTTTATGTTTCTCCTTCAGTAACTTATTTGTATTTCAATTCAGAGTCTAGTTTGATACACAACATACTTAAATAAGTGAACTTTACGAAATTTGTATTTTGATTACATGCAATTGGGAAACTATTTACTAATTTGGATTACACAGATATCACGTTAAATGTTAAATATTTCAGTTTGATTACTCTGTATTAACGCGTAGCCATTGTTGGCCAAGAACATTTATTATCATAAATAATTTTATTGATTTCGGAAATGTTTATTTATATGAATTCCATGTGGTATTGAACTTTGGAACTAATTTTTGATGCCTCTAATTAATAATTCCTATGTGCACACAATAATCACAATTGACATTTGTTTACATATTTGTTTAATGTTAACATTTATTTCGGTGAATATATGTATATATATATATATTTATATATTCTTAAGTTTAGTGTAGTCTTTACATTAGTAATAAACATGTAGTGAAAGCTGAACAGTTTCATTTCATTTTAAACGTCTCAAAATTAGTACTATAGGAATAAATAAAATTTCGCATAGTGTTTTAACTTTACATGAAACAAAGCATATTAGCGCGTTCTCTCCTATCTAGTAAGAGTGAATATGTTTTGTTTTCGATGTAAGATTACTTACGTCATCCGTTTTTAGTAGTTCTCGTCAATACCTGTTGTGTATATGAAAATTGGTGTGAAAATAAGTTGGGAAAATTTAGAGGTGGCCAAGTCAAAACAAGTTATCAGTATATGAATTTATTGACTATTAGTTTTAGTCTTATTGGGAGGTGTAGGTTTCCCAGTTGGCGACTTCAAGTGATTTTACGTAAAATGGGTTATAATAACAATAAATATAGTTTCATTTCCTAAATTACTATCCTTCTGTTATATTTACTTTTTGAACGGTATCTTATCTGTAGATATTCACTGTTTATTGCTGATCGTGTTGGTTTTCTCGTTGTATAATGACATGTAATATGGCAACTTGAACCGATAAACATTTGTACAATTCCTCATATTGATTTTAAAAACGCTTGAAGTAAGTAGAACCAAAATAAATAAAGTAAGAACAAGTAAGAATAAATGAATTAGTAAATAGAATAACGCAGCATCCAAATCAAAACGTGGCATTAGTTTATGAGATCGTTGACTACTGACATGGACAATGTATATTGATACAACTTATTTGGTTAAGGTCTACCGGATAACTAGAATCAGTGATGGAAGATACTGGCTGACATAACTCATAACTGGTCACAGTGACAAGAATGCTTTCACTATTCATCTTTCTCTAGAATTTGGGTTCCATTTTTCCTTCACATTTTGGTGATGTGAGAATATACTCTCACTTTTTATTATTTTTTTTCTAACATCTTTGATGCCCAATTATCTTGACTTCTTTAGTTTTCATACTTTTTGTATTCTTGTCATCGTTTTGATACGATATGACAGCTTATACTAATTCACATTTGTGTTAGACTCTACTTTAACCATGACTGATTGATATTTCAAACCAAAATCTTTTGATTGTTCACTATTAATTGTATTTATCTTGAGGATAACCTTAGTTTTCTTTAACTATTACAGAACCGGTTGACTTTCAACGTAAATTGGATTCCCTTGTACAAACAGCTCAAGTGAGTTTTATTTATTTCATTAGTTGTTATTATAGAATCTTCCTTAGAATAATTTACTCTGGCCTGTTAATACTAAGTGTGTATTGCATATTAATATTCAAATTTAACAGATAGGGAAATTTATTAACAATTGGTTTTGAAGCGTTCGTGTCGTGATAGTGTTAGTGTTTGGCTATTCTGCCAAATATAATGGGATCAAGGATACATGCCACTGAGGAGTTTAACAGATAACTAAAGCAACGAAAACATCAACTATCTTTTCTTTTTCCGTAGTTTCTTAGCTGGTATCGGTTTGTGATAAAGTTCTGTTTCAGAACAATCTGGTTCCTTAAAAGCGATTATATATATATATATATATATATATATTGCTGAGTGATGATCAGTGTCATGTTTTATTTGAGTCCTCTCAAGGTTACAATACCACCTATCACGAAATCCATGTCTACTAATTCCAACCATCTAACAGCGTGATGTTAAATTACTATTAGACAAGTCGTTGTGTATCAAAAGTCCCTGTCTGAACGGCGATAACCTTGCTGGCTACCAAACCCAAGTGTTCTGACTTCCAGTTCGTGCGAGTTTTTGTTTCGAACTGGTTATACTATAAATAAATAGCTTCTCAGTGACCCTTGTTTTCAGTAGTCTACTGTTAGATATCGGTTTGTTGTGGTGAATATCTTCGAAATATTACCAAGAACCGTGTATTTGAATTTATAACCGTAGAAACTAAATGAAGATGTAATGAACTAAAGTATTCATAGTTCCTTTTGATTGCCGGGTACTGCATAATGATGCATTCTGACACATATATTGATACCTTCAATTAAAAGTCTCAATTAACATAAAATTTTTTTTCTATTGCTTGATAATATTTCGTGAAATTGAGTCTCTTATTCTTGTGTTTTTACAGATCTTAAGAACAGACGATGATTTGGCTAATCAAATCTCATTTGATATTGCCCGTCTCTCATCTCAAAATAATGTTCTATTTAAACAACTCTGTAAATCTGTCACTTTACAATCCAATTTGTCGGCTTTTTTACGTCGAAGATTTCATCAAATTCGTGTAAGTCGTTTTAATATTTATTACTGAGTTTGTCGTTGGACTCCTCACTAAACAATGCAATCAGATATAATAATGGGTTAAACATAGTGTATATTTCAAAGAAGAAGCTGAATACAATCTAGACTGGTCAAAAATAAATATTTATATTAAAAACTACGTAAGAAGCTCCTATCGTCTTTCGATTCGTCAGCTAATTCTTATTGCTTGAAAATGAACTAATCAGTGTATCTTAACACTCAGTTTCATTAATTAGTTTGTTAAGCGAAAGTATATGTAAACTACGTTGAACAGGAAGTGGGGCTCACCATTTTTGTGGCCCGCTATCTGATTTCAATAGATGAGAAATAATTAAAGATGCTGTGAAATGAATCTCCCCTTCGGTTTCTGTATATCATACTTAGGTGACGGTGGTAATTAAAAGCCAAATACGAATTCCGTAGGATGAGTTTATTTCAAGCATTCCTTTCAGCAGACAGATGAGAATGAAAAGCGTGCAACCAAAGCGAAACGAAGTGGAGAAGGTGAGTGAGCTAACTCAGTGTATTAAGGCATGACTAAGCATTTTTAGTCAGAAAAATACTAAGCCATATATGCGATAAGCGAAGTAAGCAGTGCACACACCCGAATTAAGACGACCAAGATATGAGCGAATAATTGACGGATATCAGAAGACGAGTGAATAATAACTCGGAAAGAATGAATCGGTCAATTTGTCCAAAGGCTCTGGCAAGCTGTGTAGGCTCTGCATAACAGTACACGCTACATGTACCTTAGAATTAGGTAATCAGAATCGAAAACATGACTCTTAGGTTTTTGCTGGAAATTGAGACATCGTGTATGGCGAACATTAAAACCATTTTTCTGTTACTGCTCAAAACGCTTCAAGTAGTGACAGAACACTATTTCTCTCTACCAGAGGAGGAAATGATAATATTGGACCTATAGATTGATTAATTCGGATATCAATTCGTGAATAAAACCCTAACACTAGCTAGTAATTTTATGGGGAGTGCAAAATCGTTTGGCTCCTTAGGAGGGTTTTTAGAGATGGACAACCTCTATCCATGATACTATTGTATATACCGTTGATTTCTAAATTTACAATCAAAGTAACCTGTCGAAGACGTCGATATATGTATTAGTTACTTAAAATCAGTGCATACTTTGTAGTAATTTTATTTTCTTATGTAGAAATAACTCATTTTTAAATGCAGTTTCCTGACTGGCCAACAGCTGGTTAGGCGGCCATTGTTTTAAGCTTGTACGCACAGTAACTCTCCTACCACTAAATACAACACGTAATAAATCTTTTCTGGGATTTCGATCTCTGCTTTTCGTTTGTATTGACTTTCCCTAGCTAAAACGTAAATACATCAGTTGAAGTTGCCATCCCTCAATAGCATATATAGATAAAATTGTGAAGTCAAATCCCAGAGTAGTAGAGCTATCAACAGTACCAGTGTCAGAACAAAAATTTGAATCAAGAAAATGTAAATCAGTAAAAAACATTTTAAAAAATATGAAAAATTTTAGTGCATAGAGGTAAGCCAATCCTGAAGCAACAGTTCACGTTAAGAGTAAGATCTATCCAAAACATGCCAATATTTTTGCATAGGGTGATCGAAAGACTGCATTTTGTAAGCTAAAATCTCAGTCAATCTAACTGCTAAAAGTGGATCACTATCCTGAAAAATCTCAGGGATTAATCTATTAGGTCCTGCTGATCTCCTATAGCCTTCTTAACATTATTAAGAGTTGTACGACTTACGTCAACTTGCTATTAATGTAGACTGGAGATGGGTAACTGTGATTTGGCTGAAGGCCTGTTGAACTTCTTCCTTAAAGTGTCTGGCCCATCGATCCAATCTACTGGATTGAGAATGAATAATAGTCCCATCTCTTTCTGAGATAGTTTCCTTGATAAGTCTGAATAGTTGTCTACTGTTACTTATTACCGCTGCCTTTTCCATCTCTTTCACTTTCGCTACCCACAACAGCTCACTGTCATTACGTAGGCTTTTTGTCAGTCTTTGTTTAAGTTGTCTCTGTTCCTCATCGTGTTCAGATTCTTCTTTCATTTCAGTAGATGTAGCTGAAATCCACTGATTTTTCCTAATTGTTGGTTTAATATACTGGTAGAAACCATTTCTGTTTCCACAGTTTTCTAGTTGTTCCCACAATGCTTTCTTGTCTCTTTTATCAGTAAATTAATCTCTTAGGGTGTTCCTTGCCGTGTCTTTTTTAAGTCTATTGAGTCGCAGACTAGTACATGCCCATACTAAAGCATGATTCAAGTTTAAACCTGTGCTCCAGAATGAGCGATAGCTTTCCGTCGATTCTCTCCACTGATGGCTGATGACAATGTGGTCCATTTGAGTCCATCGTTGAGCCATTTCTGGAGATCTCTATGTTTATCAAGAAAGAATAGTTTAATATCCCTTCGAAAATTTTTCACTACTACCTCATTGATTATTAAATTGTTTCCTATCTCAATAATAGGTACTGTTTAAGAATATGACTTATTTTAAATGTAGAATTTCTGTGATATGGGTTTTGATGTCTTGTATGAGATCTTTTTTGTCTTGTTTTTTTTTCATTCTCAAAAAACAATTTAGATGAAACGATTAGCTGAAGCATTTTTCTGTCAAGAATTATCACTTGTCAATTTATTAGCTATTTATGACTCCAGGTAACGGATGAGTTTTGCTTTTATAAAGCTATTTTTACGTAATTAATGAAGTAGATTACCTTTTTCTGTTTTTGTAATAGTAGTAGACCAGTGGTTTAAAGCACTCGATTCACTGTTATTAAATCGCAAGGTCTTAAGCAGTTACTTCGGCCTAGGCTGACTGTATGCGTAGCACGGTAAGTCGTATTGTAAACAGTGTAGCTCAAAAGTGAGTTTAGGATTATGCATCAGTTAAACTAGTTCATCATTATACAGCCTTGGTTTAAGCGTACTTCACCCGACGCTGCAGTCCATTTAGTTAGTTAGACACACTGTAGAACTTGCTACAAGTTGTTACATACCACTAACATGGCTATTAGATTACAATACTTTAGAATCTCAACTTGTCAGAGTACATTTGGAACAGGTTCAGTTCAAAATTATGACCTATTCAAATAAATCAAATCCAGTTCGCTAGTATTGATATGAACTAACTGTCGGAATCGAAAAATACTTTATTCGTCAGTATGCCATCAGTTAACTGTTTTGTTATATGCAGTGAGACTATTTGACATCTATTCGATAAAAACTAAATTATTGTCTAGAAATTTTTGAGGGTATATATATATTAAACTGAAAACGTACCGACCATCGCAAAAAACCATTCCTCTCCTATAAAAAATGTTATACTCATAAAAGTAATTCCAAGATACCATCTTTCAAACTAATCTTTACTAACCAATGACATTGTAACCGTAATCTCATACTACTTATCCTCTATATCATTTAAGCTACTGTATACTTTGTAATAACAACATGATTAAACATACGCGCAAGAGTGGTACTAGTATATTAGCCTAATACATTTCAAACAACCTCATTTTCGATGAACAAACCGAATCAGTATTTACAACGACATGCTAACTAACACGCACATACACACACACACTATTCTCAAATCTCTTACTCGTGTTTTCAGCTCTTGTCTAACTGAATTTAATTCACTAAGCGAACTAACCGTTTAATTCTGTTAAAACATTTCAGACAGTCTAATAATGATTTTTTTTATCACTTTATCGTCATTCTATTTTCAGTGTCATATATGTTTTGCATAAAATTTTTTGTCAGTTAATTTTGAGTTATCGAACATTTCATCCTGTTAAAAATAGTTTCTTTCAAAAACTAATCATCACACAAGTAACTGCTGAAAAATCAAAGAAAATGTAGTCCATTGATTTTGAACTTCATAACTATGTAAGGTATTCTATTCTATTCAGTTTGGAGAATGTAGAAAGATCTTGGATTCCATTCATTGTGAAATAATGTACCATTCGCATATTAAAAGCCTGTTATTTCGTTAGAAAGAAAGCAATTCCAATAGGTAGCTGTCCAGTCTATAGATAGTATAAATCCAGTTAAAATATTTCACTTCGATAAAGTGTTTACAGTGTTAGCAACCAATAGTAATGGTTAAAGACACTAGGTTAGTGAGACGGTTGTCAGTTGATTGAATGGACATTTATCCATTCATTCATTCTCTTTCTCTTATCTGATATATCTTCAGTGCTGATTTTTTTGTTCTAATCTACAAATTCATTGTTTTTTTCATATCTGATTGTTTACGGGTAATGTTTTCACAACTACTACTGATACTGTTACTGTGTTTTTACAACTGTTGCATTTCTCTTAATACCATCATCTTACTTACTTTGCTGATAGCAAGTGGCAATTTGAATTCTATTGCACAATATGCCATATTCTACGTTGTTTATGGTTGATTAAATCTGAACAGGACTCATAAATTTGCTAATTTGATTTAGATTTTACATTTATTCTCATTCAAGTTATTTAATTTGCTTAAAACTTTTTTTCAACAAATTTTTTCTGTTTCAGTGCCATTGGACATGAATCACTTGCCAATGATATTCGACAATCAGTTTATTTTCAAAAACTTCCAACTTTACCAGTTACTTGTCGTGAACTAGATGGTGATGTGACTAATCTACCGATTATTTTCGAAGATATCTTTTTACCACCTAATAACAATAACAATAGTATTATTATTAATAATAGTAATAATAATAATATTAATAGTAATAACAATAGTAATAATGGAGATGAAATAGACTCATCTCAACCAATTAATAGTAATAATAATAAGAACAATGGATTATGTACAAAAAGTGTATCGATTAAAAAGTTTGAACATTTAACAAGGTGTACATCAATCGAATTATTGTCGCATAATAAATCTTTACCTACCACCGATGATGATACTGCATTTATATCAGTGAAAAATCGTTTAGATGATAATGAATCCGGTATTTATATGGAAGAAGATGTGATAGGCGTAGGAGTATTATCAAAGACTACAACTGGAAATCAATCAATTGTCTCATCCAGATGTGACATTATGCCAGGTAAGTGAATTAGATTGTTCTTCATTCTGTGTCTTTTCCTCTCTCTCTCTGTCTCCAACGCATTTTTCATGATGTTTACTGTTAATGTAATCATAACCTAATGATTAAAGTTTAACTTTCAACCCAACTATTTTCCACGCCCATACCTCCTCTACCCATCTATTTTAGTCTGGAAAGTCAGGTGGTATCGCTTAGCGCTCATATAAATTATGTAACTTACAATTGATTCCCAATAACTGGATCTTAAAATAAAAGAAATAGGTTAAAACAACCACTAACGCATGCATCATTTGTGATACTGACTAGAGAAGAAGAGTATAAACAATGTTTGTCGTGTTTCAGTTGACTCATGGCTCAAAATAAGCTCTTGTCTAATAAACACTCTTTAGGTTATGTATCTGCTTGATAATTTACATTTTAAATGATTATAACTTAAACAAGGCTCTCAGTGATTATTGAATTTCATTTTAACAAGTGATGTTTTGTTTATGTGCCGTTGTCATGGTAGCTCTAATAATATCCTCAAGTGTTATTTTGTCCATCACTGAAATAAATAACATCTTATTGAAATTTATATTTATTATTTAGAGCATATATAAACAAACAAAATGATTTGCGTACTTCTAGTTTTTCTCTCATATCACTATTTTCGCTTATAATAATCTAACTACGAAAACTACCTTTTTTTCCTTAATTTTTTTTTGCAACGCCTTCTTTTAGCTTAGCTTAGCTTCGAATGGTTTTTGTTTTCTTATTTTTTTTTGTAAAGAGAAGGTATAAACAGATATTTGTTCCAGAGTGTTTTATTTATTTGCATCGTCATCTACTCCTCCGACTGTTAAGTGAGTCAATGACAACGTAGAACTTCGTACGTAAGTACATCAGTTCAAGTTGCATTGTCATGTTAGCAGAGAGAGATTGAAGTGTCAATTAAAATTCTATAGTAGTATATGTAGTAAAATTATTAGTACTAATAGAGAAGATTAGAGTTCGAAGATATCCTTCACAAAGAATAAGCCCGTGAAATAAATTTAAAGAGAGAAAACTGCAAAGTAATGAGGAATTCAGATGATTGAAATTCCAGAGAACACAAAGAGTAGATGCATCTGTGCCATTGCAATCAATTTCGAGCCATATCCTTCAGAGTCTCTAAGTACCTGAGTTACCAGTCACGCGAAGCCCAACCAGGTAGTCTACACATACTAACATGGCTCAGTCCAATTGACAGTGAATTCAAGGATTTGTGTCATGTGTTATCTCGACCGAGATAGCTCAATACGTTTCGAATAAATAGACTTCTGTGAATTATCAGTGTAATTTTGTTTAATAATGACCTTCAGTGGATAATCTCAGTAGCAATTCAACAATAATGGTTAATGTATAATTAATATATAGGAGGCGTGAATTGTAGTGACAACAGTGAAATAATTATATTTTGATAATAGCTCAATAAGTAGTAATTTGTACTTCAAACGTTTCGTGACCTAATTTTAGTCACTTCTTCTGATTAAATGAATAAATAACCGAAATAAATTAATTCAATTTTAATCAGTAAAAAGCAAAAACAGTAAAATGTTTTTAGTACAATCAAAATCACGATAGGCTTGAACATGTCGATGTCATATCATGTTTGAGTTATGGAGACATCAATTGTTTATTTGTGTCGATGACATCGGGATATCACCGAAATATGATTGTTTTTCAATAATTAACTTTTGACTCAATGCTCAATTTATTTGAATCTATCAAATCCAGCGTTGGTATTTGATATGACGTGGGTTTTCGGTGTATACATTATCCACTGTATTATATACAGAGAGAAAATGAGTGACCTATTTTATACTGCCACTGAATTATACATTCAAACGGTACACCACACAAGAGACTGGACCACATCACACCAGACACATGATTGACCATCAAGATAGAGAACTATAGTATGCGATAGATAATATTTTATTTCACAGCACAATCACAAGCAGTCATACTCAGTGAGTTCGGAGTAGAAATCAGAAAGAGAAAATGAAATCACATATTCAATAATCAGTAGACTCTGTCTGTTTATCAACGCTCTATGACCATGCACATTTTCCTTCCCGTATATCAGTATACATGAATTGGAATAGTGTGCTGTAATGTTTGTCAGCCACATGAAAATCTAGTTCGATAGACAACCCACTTGAGACATACATGAAAAAAAGGTGTTTATGTGAAAATTATCGCAAATTTCTTTACTTCCTTACAGTAAATTTAAATATTTTTCTGTACTGTACATCGCAACTAATTGATTTTTCATGAGACACTTAATATGCACTGAAAAAACAATTCACTTCACACTTCTCTTTTGTAGCCAATAAGAGAGAATGTACACCTGCAGTAAATTATGTCTGTCCATCAACTGTACCAAATCATCATTTAAACTATCAATCTCGAAATTTTTCTCAATCAAGTCCTAATCTATCATCGTCATCACCATCGTTACAACAACTTCATGTTGTAACTAAACCAATTTGTAAACCATCTCTTACAGTTGGCAATATCTCAACTCCAAAGCAATTGATGAATGGACAGTCTAAACGAAAATTTCATCTACCTGGTAATCATAGTCGAAAATATCATTACTTCGATAAGTCACGTGGATCTAATGTTGTACCACATCTAAATAGTAATAATTCAAAAGTCAAATTAATTGGTTACCGTTCTATTCAACCAACGGAGAACAATATTATGATGGATCAATGCTCTACTGTATCTGATAATCGACGTAGACTGACCGGATCCTCTTTGAATATTTCTGGCGATGTGAATCACTGTTCATATCCTTCTACTGGCTTACGTCCTACTGGTGGTCTTTCTATTCGCGAGTGAGTGTAGTAAAATGTCATATTTTATTAATGAACTATTTCATTAGACTGAAAGTAAAATTTTACATTTGACTGATTGATTTCCTATATACTATCGATAGACATTCTCATCGCTTCTACTAATTCCATCAATAAATTTGTGGATGATACTCAGTCAAGCATACAACTTCTAGAACTAGAAGTATATTTGTTATTATTGTTTTTCAATACTTTTTAAGCAATAACTTTAATCATTAAAACAATATTTTCTTATTGTCAGTCAGTTGATCAGTAATTTTGACTGTAGTTATTTGTTAATGTTGGGAATTGTTGGCTCAATCCCATGAAAATTTAAATCAGTGTGACTATCCCATTCATTTTAATAAACTTATCGAACCAATTAGACTCCAGAAAACTTGCACACCTTTCTCACAAGTATCAATCAACTAGGGTTGATGTTGGCGACGTAAGACCCTCGGAACTCGCTTGATAAATGCTTGATTTTGGATTTCACGTTTACGAGCATTGGCTGATCAGTTGACCTTCAGGTTTCATTTCCCACCAGGCTGTGATTGGCTGCTGTGTATTTTATTGTGCTATTTTTGTGACTGTCCCAAGGACGTTTCTATGATGCATAAATAAACGTGTGTGCTTGATTGGATTGTGCTTGCTGGTTGTTTGTAGAATATACTTTCTACTCTACATCAGGACTTTTCATTAGTCAGCAGATCAGGGTAGCCTACCTGGACGCTGATTCATTTCCTCGTTCGCGTTTATCGACTAAGGTGAAGCCGTATTAATTTACATAAAATCAATAACCATGTTGGGTAGAGTTGTAATTTAGTTCCGAAACTTATATTCATACTTATTCTCGAATAAGTGAGAGCACATTTTGTCACTGTCATAAGACCTGGAATTGCTCGGTTAGATCCCTCGTGACGGGTAGTGTATGAGCAATTCTAAGCTCTCATACTAGAACAAAACAGTTATTCGGTGCTGCTTGGTATTTTACTGATTGCCTAACTGAAGTCATTTAACGATGTAAACTATGAAACTAAAGATACTCATTACATGAATATTATTCACTTTCATTTTTAGCTCTCGTTCTCGTTCTCTACACAATTTATCACTTAAATCGCCTCAAATAAAAATGACTAATTTGGACACTTTCAATACAAACAACAACAATTCATCAAACTGTACATCTTTTTCTATGCTGAATATTTCAAGTGAACTGAACGATGCGTCATTGTTTCATTGTTCAACAACAAGTACAGAGAATAATGTTTTAAAGTCGGATTTATTTACATTTACTGATTGTATTAATCCAAGATTGTCAAATCAATGTAATAAATCTCATGAATTCATTGCATTAGGTACTTTAAAATTACCTCCAATAAAACCACCCGGTGGATGTGTACCATATGAAAAGATATCTGATGAAACAAATACTCTATTACCATGTAATCATTTGTATAAATCCACTATCGGAAATAGTTCTATTTCTCTACCGAATATACCACTTTTATGCACCATCCCAAGAGTAGTTTCAGAAGGATGCCTTACAAATATTTCATCAGTAGATCAGTTTTCTTGGAGTAAATCTCGAAGGCGAGTGAAAGTTCGTAATTTCAAAAGAAATCATATATTTGCTGCTAAGTATGTTCATTTCATATTTGTACATTTTATACATTTCATAAACGCTTGACATCGAAGAAATTCACGGACGACTCCAACTACTTTGAGAATATACAAATACTTGTTTACATTATTATTACTGTTATCGTCATTTTTAAGAGTTTAAATTTTCTCGTTTTTGATATATTTATGCCTGAACTTTGATCTATCTTTGTTAGCATTCCTGCATCCAATGCAAATTCCTTTGATATGTTTTTTTTTTCTGTCACGCTTTATCTTAAAATTGTGGCTTAGCCTAAGGAATTCATGGCGTGAATTTCGTCTTATCGTAGGACTTAGCCGAATGCATCTGCATCTTATTGTTGATGTTTGCATCTTTGACAAGATAATCTTATTTACCAGTTAGTGGGATATTATCTCTAACTCATTATGTTTTTACTACCCTTTCAACGATTTTGTTTCAGTAGTGATAACGCGTTTACATGTTATGTTATGCTTGATAAGTCTTTGACCTTTATTATTTCTTATTATTTTAGGAAATCACAATATAGTCAATTGAAAACTTATACTGCAGAGTAAGTCATTTCATTTCTGATTTCTTTTGTTTAATCAGTCTAGTTAATTCTATACAATATATGTCAGGCAACATGTCAACCTCTAACCAGTTTCTACCATAATATTACTATTTGAATTTCACCGCGCAACAGACAGTCAAATCTATAACCTTTGGTCTCGTATATAAATGCATAACCACCTAGTAAAATTCAATCTCCTAAACCCTATACTGATACTTTTTATTTGCTTACTAGTGATTAACCTCGAGAGGGACACTGCTGAAATTCGAATAAGAAGCTGTGACCAGTGGAGTGCAATTGTGTCGTGTATAAGTTATCCACCAAAGACAATAGAAGATAGTTTCTCAATAAAGTTAATTCTATACTACTGAACCCCGACTCTCTAGTCCAGAAGTTATTCGTTTACTTGCGAGTTCATAGATTCTGAGTGCGATTTCCGGTTAGTATGCGATGAATTCTCCTTTCCAAATTTTCAATGGTTGTCTCATTAAAATTCAACAATCTACAACTTTGTACTTAATATCCATGGTTTTTTTTATAGCACCAAACCGATCCAAAAAAAATCTTTACATAGATGAACAATTCACAATTTACTTTCTAAACTGCGATTACAATTAAAGCTTTCTATCATAAATAAGTTGTCAGTTGTGTAACCCCTATGTATGCTATGCTCTTACAAAACAATCTAGTCATTGAATTCTGGCAATCGATATGTGATGTGGTTAGCGCGAACTACGTTCTACACTGTAAACGTATCAGCTCATTTTCTCCTAATGTACAATTTACCATATATATATATATATATATATATATATATATATATATATATATATATATATATATATATATACATAGTATTTTTTTTCTTCAAATAAATAAATTTAGGGCGTACACTTCAAATTGGTAATATCAAATCTTCTTCTTCTTTTTTTTTCAATTCAACCATTCTTAATAACATTTGATCAGAGTTTATCAATGATTGTGTATTGATTGTTTATTCTTTTCTTTGTTTGTTTTTTTTTATTATTATTTAGTTTAGCTTATTTGAGCAGTTGTTCAGATTTACACCTTGCTGTTTTAGAAAAAGAAATTCAAACATTAAATTATCATCCGTTATCAACGAATAATCATTCCTGTACAACAATTGGCTCAAATCAATCTGTACCTAGTTGTTTGTTTGCATCGAAAAAACGTCTGACTAAATCAAGTACGGTTTTATCAATTAGAAAAGAATCTAATTTAAATGTACCATGCTCATTATTGACATCATCATTTTCTAATATTGATATATTGGATAGTTCACAACGACAACAACAACAACAACCACAACAACAAGAAAATGTGATTAGTTGTAATTCTCAGTCACATTGTTGGTCTAATAAACACAACACCACTGGTGATCCACATTATCATATACGACAGGCAAACAGTTTAAAAACGTGTCAAGGTCATTTCTCCAGTATCACTAACACTAATGATGATGATGATGATAAGAAGCGATCCACTATCACTAATCATAATAATAGTAATGGTAAATACCAACGACAGAAATCACTACTTGTTGCCAATAAGCAAGCGTATAGATCAAATCAACAAATGATTACTGAATCACATGACTTTTATTCGAGCACGACGTTTGTTCAGTATGACCAAGGAAGAAAACTGCATCATCCAAATGTTTCCTCTGGTGATACAACTCGAGTAACTACTATTGACAACTGTGATGATAATAAAAATAATAATCAACGTTTATGCAACAATTCCGATTTCCCGCACTCACCATCACATTGTAATAGATATTTACCAATCTCATCTGCCGAATCATCATCACCGCCATTACTATCGGCACAGAATAGTCGATTTAAAGAATGTGGTTATCAAGTTTCCAATTTGTTAAGTAGTGACGAAGAGTTATCCAATAGAAATTCACCAAAACTCAGTGTTCTAGAAATGTTGAACACCATTGATTTTAGCAATAATGATGATAAATTCTTGAAAAAACCTTCTCATAGTTCTATGTGTACTGTAAGTATTGTACAAAGAATTTTATGCTTGTTTTTATTTTATTTTTCTATTCAACACAATCCATTAAGTTATTGGAAATTAATTAACTATTTTCTTATGTTTCTTGTTTGGTTTCCTCTATACTTACCAGTTAATTGATAATTCACATAGAACTCTTTTTAGATTAATTATTACTGCTCTATCTAATTTCAAGATATTGCCTTTCTTTGATATCAACCTGCTCATGCCTTTACATTGATTTGTATTCATTTGTATCATTTTCAAAATGTGATGGTTAGTGTTAGTTCTCTGAAAACTATGATCCTAGATTACATCGTGCTTGCCACCTGTCAGCAAGACATATCACCAATCTTGAAGAAACCAATGATTCCAGTGTGGCTCGAATCCTCATCGTCATGCTTCATAGTCTATTGAATTATCCAAGCTTGCGACTGGCCTATTGAATATGTACTGTTGATTGACCACTCAGTAGTGACTAGTACCATGCTTATCTAGTCCTTTCATGCTTATTGTGTTCTATCTATTAAGTCTCAATGTATATATATATAATTATTACGACATAGGTCAACATTGTGACGTTATGTGGTTGGATGAAGTCAACAGAAAGGCTTGAACCTGAATTTACATGCCAAATGTCATTCTTCTACAAGACATACCTGCCGTTCTATGGAAAACTCTATGCTTCTCTTGTCACTATTAAAAATGTTACCACGTACCTATTTCATCGGTAGACTAGATTTTACCCTCTAATTCATCATATTGGTAGTACTAGCCACTATCACGTTGGTCTGTAGTGCTTAGTACTGACTTATGACTTATCTATTATATTTGAATAATCCATCAATTGCTTGGAGTAGTTCGGTGAATGAAGTATGAAAGAAGATAACGATTTTATATCATTCTGCATTTATTTATGATCAAACTAATAAGCTAGATTCGGCAGCAGAAAATTTCGAAGAACAAGCTTTTGAAGTCATTGAGAAAGCACATTCTATTCAGGTGAACTTCGTTCTATCTTTTCTAGTCGGCCTACTATTTGTATGTCAATGAATTATATTTAAAACCCCACGATTTGATAATGGGTAAATAAGCAAACTGTATTAGAAGTTGTTGCGGGATTCTGAAGGTGCTGCAAAGGTCGGTCACATACGAATTTTTCAGACAAGTTAACTCCCAAACCTTGGGGATCTCGTCTCCGGCTTCGAAAACCCTTACGGTTAGATGAGTTGTATTTCTGAATTCTACTCTTTCTGTTGCCCATCCCTCCGTTTAGGGAAGGCAGAAATGCTACAGATACTGGTTGTCTGTGGGGAATATTCTGCTGTTGTTATATGTTGATTTTTTTTAGTCATATCGTTCTTTAACTGACCTGGCATTGTAGGGTATAGAGGAATAAATATTCCAGCCAATATCGCTCAACTGAGTCGTTGTGAGAATATCAGAGAACCTGGCCTAAATGTGATAGATTCATAGTCAGTACTCCATGTTTTTAATATCGTATCTCTGACAAATAAGTATTCGTAATGCCATTCTGGATATATTCGGTTAACCTTTTTTTTGTTAAATGTTTTTTAGGCTTCCAAAAATCGTGAACCTTCATCACATTTATCAGCTAATCAAAAACAAATTAGAAAAACCAATTCTTTAACTTGTACATCATCATTGTCATACAAAGACCAAAATGACAATACGCAAAATAGATCAAATAGCATTCATTCTGATGCTAAGAAAGCTCATTCACTTGTTGATATATTATCCCCTGGTGTATTAGAATTTCTACGTTATAAGGAACAAGTTAAACGACAGATTGCTCCACATTTTCAAGGTTATGTTTATAGTGATTTTGCTACACTTGCTGCACCATATGCATATTTTTCAGAGGCACCTGTATCCGATGGTGATGTACATCTTGTAATTTGTGTTCATGGTTTAGATGGTAAGTTGTAATGCTTATTATATAAGTTTTGACTGTATTGTGGTGTATGAACTGGAATTTTATTGATATATCTATACCTGTGTATACCTTTTTAATAATCATAATAAAACACAAATATATGAACGAAGAATATTCTTATCAATATGTTCTCTTCAGTTTCTATAGTTATATATCTAAACTAATATTCCGAAAAGTGGCCAGCTTTAAGATAAATGCACCGTTTAAAACTATAGCATGTGAATTTAGGATTGTTTAGAATATAAATCGTTAGTGTTGACATAAATGAAATGTTCACTTGGATAAGTTTATATGCAAAATGAAATTATGAGATTTATAATCAGAATAAATGTGCATAACATGCTTAACCTAAAAAGTTACCAGCGTTGTGGTAATTATCATGATAAAATTGGTAAATAAGTTTAATTGAAATCATGAGTCGATCAGTGTTAGAATAGCATTAGAAACCTGGAAGCACTGGACGACCGTTTTGTCCAAGTATGCGACTTAACAGCGGTGCGCGCCCATGACCTCAGCACGTAGGAATCGAACCTAAGAACTTCGATTTCGTACATGAATGCTTAACCTCTAAACCGCTTAGCCGACATCCACCGGTGTTAGTATCTACCTTCAATCAATCTACGATATTGCACGACCTCATCCATTGTCGTCGGTAAGTAACTGGCTCGCACCCGACAGGCTGTAACTCCACTGGTCACGGTTTGTCACTAGAATTCCGAGACTCATCATGAAGCTAATCACTCCCTATTGCTTGATGTATTATTTAATTCACTTTTGACTAGGTATCATATTTGGTTAAATTAGTTGTGTTTAAAAGCATTGATCGGATAGTTGGAATGCATAAATGAAGACTACGAAGTAGTCTATATATATATGTGTATAAAGGAAAACTTTGATATAGAACTCGTTGTAAAAGATTCTTGAATTAAGTTAAGTGTTTTATCAAAAATATTTCTTGAATGCCACAAATATATGTTATTGTTTTTTTTTTCCGTTCGCTTTTCCAGGTAATTCATGTGATTTACGTCTTGTACGTGTTTACCTTCAGTTAGCTTTACCAGATTGTAATTTACATTTCCTCATGTCAGAGTGTAATCAAGATGATACATTCGGTGGTTTCGAAATGATGAGTGAAAAATTAGTGAATGAAATTTTAAATTATATTGATGAGATGGAAGAAAAACCAAAAAGAATTAGGTGAGCTGTTCCTTCTTCCCCTGATTTATTTTTCTTTAATATTTCTTGTTAAAAATTAATTAAGTCTTATTTAATACGTTCAATTTATTTATTCTTATAATTGAATTATGAATATAAAGTTCAACTCAATGAATCATGAGTACTGGATATAATGTTAACGACGGAACAGTTGTTCAATTCTCTCTTGTTCTCAATGGTTCACTGACCAACGTTCATTCATATGCAGTTACTTTTGTTTTTTTAACTTACTAACAAAATTATTGTAAAACCTTTAATGTTACACTGTTTATAATGAAAAACTCACCGTAAAACATGAAGGTCTTGTACTGCATTCTCTGACTTGGTCATGAGTCTGCACCCATAAAGAGTCCCTCTCTCAGCAGGACAAAACAGCTATCCATGGCTGCCGGACTTCCAATGGTACCTCCGACTGAAATCAGTCTGCAAATAATATAGCAGATTTATGGTTTTATTGACTTGCAGTTTATGGTCGGCAAAATTTATATCCTTCAACAATTAATCAATCGATCGATAGCCTTACTCCATAGATTTATCTGTAAAATCCCATGAAATAATTGTTTGCTAAATACTCATCGAAAAAATATCCAAATCAATTCACCAAGAAAAAGAAACTACCTATTCTGTGTGTAACTCTTTTCTCGTCTTTTTTTTCAAACAGTAGTAATTATTATCATAGTGTGAGCGTGCGTGAATCTCTCGGAACTAACTGCTATTTTACACAAATATTTTTTCCCATAATGTTTTAATAATAACAATTGTTATTATTAATTTTTGTAAGTGATTATAAAAAGTAAAGTACATTTATTAACTGGTGAGGTCAAACTTTTTAATCACCTTCCTAAATATAATTTATTCTAAAAATTTGAAAATTTTGAGTTTCAATATTTTCTCAAGCATGGTGAATTCGATGGCAATCTAAGATTCATGAACAGAATTGAGATACTTAGATTCCATGAATAACTTAAACTTACAGAATTCTGTGTAGAGCCCTATTGGGATCATTAACAGTGCTAAGTCTTGATAAAGGAGGAGGTTTGGGTGTGAAGTTGGCAACTTCAACTTGACTAATAGACACTAAGCAGAAGCAATCATTTTAGCCATTTAAACACTGCTCTAGGAGTTGGAAGGTTTTCGTTTAGAAGAGTTACGACGTCTCCTAGTGAAAGCTAAGTTTCTTTGAAATTCACGAAGCTGATGCCTGATCTCATAACCCGATCAACAATTAACATAAGTACATGGACTGTCCGCACGATGCGCTAAACTAAGAGAACCATTGAAGTTGCTGAAAAAGTGACACGATACATCCTGGAGGAATTCGGAATAAACGAAACACATTAGATACAATCTGGATTTTAAAAAAACATTGGCTTCAAGAAAAATGCTCTTGTACTCTGGTCAAGAAGAAGAGAATGCGTCACACACAAAAAGTTTTACTGACATTGTTTAAGGAGGCATAGAAAGCACCTATAGAATGGGAAACTCAGGGAACCAGAATCACCAGAGCATACTTGAAGACCAGGTAGTGGGGAATTACAATGAACGCTATCCAGTGGTATCCGCTCACCAACAACAGCATTTTAAGTCTGGACCCAAACTGATCACAACGCCATCACTTAACGCTGGTGTGCTTGTGTATAAGACTGCCGCTCTTTTTAGAGTACTTATCTGAATTCTGATCATACCTTTGTTTGCGCTGGTTTTATCTTGCGTTTCAGTGGTCAACAAATTTTTCGTCCTAAACGGATGGATGTCTGCAAATCTATCGTAGCTTATGTTGCAATTAATTACCGAACCGAGCTAGGTTCAAGGCTGGCTATTGACCCACCGAAAAGCATAGACGAACACTAGCTGCGATCGCGCAACCCTGTGAAAACTTACCAGTAAACTCGCTTGCAGCTCCAGGGAACTTCCCGCTTAGCATTGGGTTTCTTGGGGTTCCTTACAACTACTCACTGAGACGCGTCGGTCTCCTCCTGGTAACCACAGGTTCGACGATAAAAATTTTATACGTAATCAAATAATGCAAAGGTTGCTTAAAGATTGAAAAACCTGACGTTCGAAGCGTGCTAACAAGTCAAGAACTGCGGCTGCATCTGGTAACTGTCAGAAGCTATTTTAACTCACCTAAGCCACTGGCAGTAAGAGGTCTGAAGTGAATGAATGAAACAGTCTCTTAATCTGGTGGAACACCTGTCGAGTTTTTTGAGGAACATTCCGGCCGGTTCACTGTACCATGTCTGGTTATGAATGGTCCACGTAACAAGGCACAATTTTGCAAAGAAACTCCCTTCAAAACTCCTTGGTCAGGGTCCTAGTGACGGTGCAACTCAGCGGCTTGAGACTTTATCAGACATATCTCAGACTAGGAGCCAGTGTAGTGGCAACTTTTGAAGCAGTCGGAAATTGGGAAAAGCACGATTTTTAAATACAACACAGCAACAACCAAACGAATCATACTTGATAGAGAAGCTCTGTAAAATATGGAAACACTTACGCACCTGGACAGCATCATCTATAAACAAGGGGGATCTGATGCAGATGTGAAGGCGCAGACTGGTAGCGTAAGTGCATCATTCCTACAATTGAAAAACATCTGCAGCTGAAAACAACTGTCAGCTAGTATCGAAATCAGCATTTTCAGTACAATTGTTAAGTCAACTCCATTGAAGAACTGCTAAAAACATCAAAAATGCGAAATCGTCTATGCAAGATACACCATCTTTAGCCTATGCTCCACAAATGGTAGCAGACGTAAGTAAGCTAACAAAGCTTAAACAAGAACGTTTGCAAGATGATTTTTCAATCTTTTTCATATTTTTGCTTTACACTTTGTAGATATATTTCTTAGGCTATTCATGAAAGTTTTCATGTGTATCATTTTTCACTAGAAATCTCATGAGTATACTTTCAATGAAATTGATGTTTGATTTCGTTGTAGCTTGCGGGTGAGTTTAGTGAACATAATTCAATGAATGCTGTGTGCATCATTAAAGAGTTCATTGAGTATAACATAACTTTGAATTTCAAGGCTAAAATTTGTTTATTGAAACAATTTGACATTGACTTTCTTGCATTAATTAATTTTCTGAATTATATTTGTAATGTATTGATTTGTTGTGGGAGGTTATTGTGTTATTTTTCTTTTTTCTACAGTTTTATTGGACATAGTATGGGTTGTGTTATAATACGTGCAGCATTGTTGAATTCACGTATGAAATTATATTTATCGAAATTGCATACATTCCTATCTTTAAGTGGTCCACATTTAGGCACAGTCTACAATTCATCTGGTCTCATTAATATGGGTATATGGGTTATGCAAAAAATTAAAAAATCTGAAAGTCTTTCACAATTAAGAATGCGAGATGATCCAGATTTACGTAATACATATTTATATCGTTTAAGTAATAGTCCTGGCTTGGATTTATTTCGTTATGTTCTTCTGGTTGGAAGTCCACAAGATCGTTATGTACCGTATCATTCAACACGAATTGAATTGTGTAAAGCTGCAATTAAAGATTCTTCTACTCTTGGTTAGTTTATCTTCCAGTTTATATATGTGTTTATGCATAAGTATACTGTTCACTAACGTTGATATACATAATACACATGTTCTCAACTGTGTTCTCTTCTTGTTTTTAATAAATAACAGAAAACTCATTCGAACTTTACTGCTATTCTAGAGTTTTTAGTTTAAATTACTTTTCTCTAAGAGTACAAGTTTTCATTGTTATAACCTCGAAGCATTCATATAACAGATTTATATTTCAGATAGAGCGGCATGAATTAGATCATCTTTAATAATCAAAATTTGCACTCTGAATTATTGTTAAACGCTAACAATTGAAATTCAACATTGATATTTGATTGTAGCTGTATTTTGAGGGAATAACATTCGAATCACTAAATTCAATAGATTTTTGAAGGAAGTTAGCATAGACACTTGAATCTGAGTTTTCAGATTAGTGTAACACCCGTTGGTATGACATATCAATGTTTTGACTTCGCTAGAGTGGCATTCACAAAGTTATTAGTTGAAATTGATATTTCATTATGTCTACGCACAGAAATTAATCTATTATTTTTTTTAAAAACAGTAGTAATTGCTTTTTGACATTAACTTGTGATTAATTTTAACTTGTAAAATTGAAACTGTAGAAATTAAAGGCTTTAACTAGTTTATTCATAATGGGATTTTTTTGAGACTTTCTAATACTTCATTTCAATGTTAGCTGTTTGTATCCGATCAATTAGAGATCTAACACTTAGGTAGGTTTTGTGCTGGTTGATACTCATCAGCAAGATGTATCTAAAATCACTGGCTCCCTAGTTCATGTAGATGTGAACTTCTTAGTTTTCCCAGTTTGTTCTTAAGGCCTTGTTTATATTATAGACTATCTTTGAATGTTTCATTGGCTTCATTCGTCCTTCTATTTATATTGACTGTATTTTTCGATCGACTTCCAACCGACATTTTAATTGGTCTTTCTCGAATGAGTTGATAGATTGGTTGTAAATCAATGAGTTTGTTGATTTCTACATATCCTATCGATTCACAATTTATACATTTTCCTAGTCGAATATTTCTCAGTATCCATCTACATGCATTTATATTCGTAATAGTATATCGTGTTGTTCCACTAAAAATCTGTGTTCTTATTTACATAGGCAAAGAAGGGATTCACTTTGTCTAGTGTAATATTTAAGGAGTAGAATGCTAGTCGGTAAATGGACATGATCGTAGCATGTATGATCGAATGATGTTTGTCTACAAAATCGGAGAATTGACTTAAGCTCATGAATCATTAGGAATCAATTAGGACTTTATTTTTAGATCTGATTCTTGAGTATCCTATTACTGCACTATTGTTTTTGGCCTTGAAAAATAACTGTTCGATTGTAAATTATTGTCTATTACTTTGTTTTTTTTTTTCAAACCTATTTCAGAAAAATATCTCCCCAATGTTTTTTGTTTAATATTACAGGCATTATTTACATGGAAATGGTCACGAATTTATTACAACGTTTGATTAAATCAAAACGTACCACTGTAGTACGTTATGATGTACATTATAATTTATCAAATTCAGCAAATACACTCATTGGTCGTGCTGCTCATATAGCTGTGCTGGATTCTGAAATATTTTTAGAAAAATTCATTTGTGTCTCAGGTGCCAAATATTTCCGGTGATTAGTCATGTATTGTTGTTCACTGTGTCATTGTCCGTTGTCTACACTTGAAAATAATAATGATGATATATTGTTATGCAGTTCCCTATACTGCTGTTTACAATGTTATGTAAGTTATCCATTTAGACCATTGTTGTCTATTTCTACCATAAATTAGCTTTTTTATGCTTTTGTAGTGAAACGGTGATTTTTGATTATTGTTAAATTGATGGACGATATGGGCCAATCGTTTGTCAATATCAAATGATAAGATATGGTCAAGTAGATTAATGCTGCTGACGAGATTGGTTTATCAATGTAAGCCTCTAATTGAACTGATATTGGAATACAAGACAACGTTTGAGTAGAATCGGTTTCTTCTCCTAGCAATATTAACACACTGATATATACTAAATTGTGGTCACAAGATCAAACCTGATTAGAAGTTGTTTAACAGATAAACGATTGTAGGATGTTAAACTGTAAGTCATTTGCTGTTCAATGGAACTGATTAATACTTAACTATCAGGTTCAGTTCGTACCTCGTCGTGTAAATTTGATAAGTATTTCTTTGTTTAATAACTAATCATCATTATAAACAAAAGAACAATTGTGATCAAGACACTTCACGATCAATCAACATTGGCGGGTTTCATTGTTCAATCTTATTCTTATGTTGATAATTAGGCGGTGGTGTCGCTATCATTAAACTTTTGTATAGCAACGTATGTTGTCGCTTACTAACTAAAATACAAAGATCTATTTAACTGTTTCATTTCGTGCTTTAAAATTTGTTCAGCAGAATTCTCCACTTTACAAGTAACCGACAATGAATTACTCAATTCCTCAAACAGAAACAGTCGAGGAATTTTTTTTATTACTCTTTCATGATGTTACATGGGCAAAGAGCCTATCAATTATATTATTTCTGTAAGAAATGCCGCATCCTTGACGCTGTATCCATCTTCAAAAACTTTTTTTATAAGGCTTTTTCTTTTTTCATTCGAAATCAAGTTGTTTTTTCTATTTATTTCTGACATTCTAAGGATTACAAAAAATTTTAGAAAACGCTGTGAAAATTTTAAAAAATTTTTTGGTTATTTTAAAAAACCCTGTTAAAAGTTTAAAAAACGAGTTGAAATACTCTACCCTTCCACTTAAGCAGCTAGTTTGTGCGCGTAGTGTATATCATGTTCAGATATCAGACACCGCAAACCATAACACAAGCTTAATCAAACGTTTTTACATTGTCACATAACTTTTTACTTGTTGGTAAAATAGTCTTTAAATTTGCAAGTCGTCTACAATCCTAACCGTTACCAACGGTAACCGACTTCCGATTAGCACTGTTCACCTGTTAAATAATTGTCACTTTTCTTATACCATTGTAGATATACATGTACCTCGTTGTGTTTAATTGCTTGTCAGTGCTTGCTAGTGCAACGTCTATCCGTCCAAATTGCCGAATATGCAGAAAAAAAAGCCATGCTCATCTGGAAGGTGGAAAGAAAAAAATGCGCAAAACTTTATGGCATTTATGTTTTGTTTTTTTATTTTATACGAAACAGTCGAAAATCAGCCTTTTTTTACACTATATTTTATGTATTTATATATATATGTATAAGTATATGTATACTTTGTGAACTGGTACTCACTACTAAATTACATTCAAACAAACATATCAGTTAGATACATTGGATCTGCTTCAATTTAATTTATTCATTATTTACTTTTCTCACTGAACTACTACTTTTTAATCATTTTCTAATGAAACAAAATTCCATAATTTCAGTAGTTTGTCAAATGTTCTTACTCGGTTTTGTTTTGTTCTCAAGTAGAGAATAATGTTAATGAATGTATGTTGCAGTAAATACTGCTAGCAATCGGTATCATTGTTAACAGCAAATAATTAGTATTAGAAGAAGAAACAATCAACTAAGCATACTTCTTTGCCTTACAATCTTTGTCTATTTATTTTATGTTCATTGAGTACACATAGATTTTCAACAATCGAATACTTTGTTACAAATGTAATTTTGCTTTTCTCCGCGCAATTTTAAATGTTGATAAACAACACACACACGAAATGGGAGGCCTACTTTGCCTTTACTACCTAAAAAAATAAAACAACGCACATGCCTTGTGATTATTTATCTATTATTTACAACTTTATCAATGTTTTCTGTTCATTCTCTGTGTATGTTGTTCTTTCTTTGCTCTCTGCCTCTCTCTCCTTCTACTTTACACTCACATATTTCATTTCTTCACGTCCATAATGAAACAACTCATCATAAAGTCGTTAGGTAGGTGAGAATAATCAACGCTATTATGCATGAGTGAAAAGTACTAGAAAGCAAATGAAAAAAACACTTCATCTTCTGTATTGTCAATTAATCGTGTTATTTTTAATTTATGATATCTATTCAGTATGTTGTATAGTTGTTTGTATTGATTTGTTTACTTTTCCTATGTCCATTCCTTTTTTTTTTTATAATTTATTATTGGGAACAATCATACGACATCGTGATATTGATTTGTTGTTATATATATGTATTTCTTATTGTTACGTCAAAGCGCTTATCTTATTATTGCATTTCTATTGATCTATTCCATGCGTAGCAGCAATAACAACAACAACGACACTGCCTTCTCTTGTCTCTTCTGCATAGTTTAAACTTCTAAATTCTATTCACAACAACACTAATCCTATTTGTTCAGTAAATACAAAACTTGCAAAGCCAAACGTGAAATATCGTCAACTTAAACATTATTATTATTTTCTTGAATACTTTTATTACTGAATGATTTAAACAAATATTCAAATTTTGTACTTGGATAAATATTCAATGCCTTTTTTTGTTTCGTATAATGATGATTTAGTGGATTGACTAGCAACAACTTAGAACCGTGTCTCAGCTCTCGTATGTAAAACAAAGACCATGGTCGTTAGGGATCATCGGATACAATGTTTCACGTTTGTTTATTCATGAATGCATGTAGTAGGAAGTAGTACTTGTCGCCTAGTAGACACTTTCTATAGTGGCTACAAATATTTGTATCGTAGTTGCTAGTGTGATGCTGATCATACAGTAGTAGTTCCTAACCTTTAGAGCTCGTCAGTTCAGGATACTCGTATGTTCGTCGTTTTGAAGTCGTTTAATTTTATCTGACATGCGCAAATAAATCATATAATTTGTTATAAATGTTCATCTCTATGTTAAAATCATTCGTGTAGGTGAATATTGTTTTTGAACCCTACTGACCTGGCCACAATACTGTTTGTACATAATAATCTTAAACCCAAACCTTGTCTAAAAACCTTTTAATAGCTTTAATTTTTAAACGCTATCGCATAACACAGACTTCCGAAACAACACCTTTTATGTTAAGTGTTGTATTATTTTCTTCGAAATTAGCAATCATACTATCGATAATTAAGATGTTCATTTTAATTATGCAGCATAAAACCAATATTGACTAGTTTATTCACTCTAGTCTTACCACCTTAGTTACTCATTGATATGCGTTTCTATTTACATTTATATACATAAATATCTCTAGTATATCTGCAATTTATATTTGCTAATGGCTAGATATTCGAAACACATTTATAAGCTATTCTTAGAATACCAGTCTCTAGTCGGTACATATTAACGTCTTCTAGATATTTATGGTTTCCATGACGCTATCAATTAACACACTATCTTCAGTTATTTTGTTCTCTGTGTTTTTCTTTAATCCTCCGAAGATTGATTGTCATGTTGTTCTAAACTCAGAGCTTATTACATAATTTACCAAGCCACTACCATTATTTATCGAAACAATGCATTAACGAGAAATAAAATCCTAACCTTGACCATTGTGGTGTTCATCAATATCGTATACTACTGGGAAAGCTATTCTCTGGTATTCTGAATAGTAGCTTCAAATATATTTGGAAAAGAATTCATAGTAGGAAAAACATAAATGAGAACTCAGAGATCAGATATCTCGAACATGCAGTACCTGTATTTGCATATTTGACGTTATTCATCTCACTTAAAAGTTATCATAGATGTTATTATTTATAGTACTCAGTAGTAAATGCATAAGGAATCACTTAGAGATACCAAGATCTCGTTTATAAGTAAAGCGGTATCTAAATCCGTTTTAATATGACTTCCTTTTATGAACATTCTTTCTATCCTTCGAAAAATTTCACTGCTAGTGATCAAGCTTCTTCATAAAATATTATGAAACGAATATTCTAAGATCAACTTCTAACCTATCATTACAATCCAGAACGCGCGATTTATTCTGTTTGGGACTCTTAAACTGTATCTGCATCTCACAGTTGATGTTCATTCTTGCATTCCACCACTAGCCACATCCTATCTATTCTATGTAAACTTCTGTGATATTAACTATGTCTAGACAAACCGCATGGGGTGCACTATGTCAGGCAAGACTAATCCAAATTCAGTCGAAAAACCAACCATGAGATAAACAGAATAAAATCTCATACCCGTTTTACAAGTGAGTGGCTCTCTTAAGTTGGTAGATAAATGATTAAAGTGATAGTGTCTGAAGCGGATGTTACTCGGTTTGTGTCTTGGAGTGGACATAAACTCTGAGATACAGGTACATTCAACGGACGAGTCCCAGATAGGACGGAGCACACGTCCTGGATTGCACTGAGAGCTACATTCTATCTAATTTAGTTAAAAAAGTATTATTGTTGATGTCAACTGTTATAGTGATGGTTATCGATTTTTTACAAAGCGCAAGATAAACATTTTTTTTAATTACAGCAGTGGTCTATTAATATAGCAAAGCAATTTCAACAGTTAATTAATATTGCATATATAATTTAGTAGATCATATGTTGTTATTTCTTCGATTCGTGTAAGTCCAGTTGAAACTTTACAACGCACCTTCCGAAGGGTCAGAAATCGAGCAACATTCACGCGCTTATGAAAAAAACTTTTTATGATTTAGTTGACATTCTACTATTAAAATGAAAGAGAAGAATAGCGATTGACA